TTAGTGACTTAGTGAGACTCTTTCTCAAAATAAAAAATTTTAAAAGGGCTGGGGGGAAAAAAGAAAAAGGAAAAAAAAGGGCTGGGGATATAGCTCAGTGTGAAGACCCTGGGTACAATCTCTAGTACCGGGGGAAAAAACAACAAAAACAAGGAAATAAGAAGACATGGAGGAACACTCAACATGTTTGGGAGCTTTAGGAAGGAGGGAAGGGAGTCAGGAGAAGTTCCCTTCTGATGACTTGACTTTTCTCAGAGAAGCAGAAACCCATCTCACTGCATTCCAACTCACCCCTAATCTCTGTTGTTTTCTCCCACCCACTATGTCCTCCCAGGTATACCAGTTTTTCAGCTGCCTTCCAGAGGACAAGGTCCCCTATGTCAACAGTCCTGGGGAGAAATACAGGATCAAGCAATTGCTGCACCAGCTGCCTCCACATGACAGTGAGGTGAGGAGAGAAGACAAGAAGGGCCTGAGGGAGGCTGAGGCTGGAGGGTCACAAGTTCAAGTCTCACCTCTGCAACTTAGCAAGACCATGCCCCCCAAAATAAAAAAAGGCTGCCAGGTGTGGTAAGGCACCCCATAATCCCAGCACTCCGGAGGCTGAGGCAGGAGGATCACCATAAGTTCAAGGCCAGCCTGGACTACATAGGGAGACCCCGTCTCAAAAAAAAATTTTTTTTTTGTAAAAAGTAAATAAAAAAGAAGCTTGGCTAGTGGTTCATGCCTGCACTCCCAGCACTCTAGGAAACTAAGGCAGGAGCACCAAAAGTTTGAGCCCAGCCTGGACAGCTTAGCATGACCCTGTGTTAAAATTTTTGAAGGGCTAGGGATGCATCTCAGTACAAAGGCCCTGGGTTCCATCCTCAGTACTACAAGAGAAGAAGGACAGGAAAGCATGCCAGGTACAGATCACAAATGCAAGGCAGCTAGAGAGAAACTGGCAGGTCAGAGGAACAAAAGTGAGCTGAGCTGAGGTGAGAGGTCTGGACAGCCAGGGGGCCATCAGACGACATTCTTTGACAAAATCACATCTGGGTGTTAGAAGAAGAGGTGAGGGGAAGGCATTTCATGCAGGAGGCACCACCTATACAAAGGCCTAGAAGCAAACCTTGGGGGTGGGTGAAGTCTGGAAGGCCCCTGCTCCCCCCAGGCCCAGTACTGCACGGCATTGGAAGAGGAGGAGAAAAAAGAACTCAGAGCCTTCAGCCAGCAGCGAAAGCGGGAGAATCTGGGGCGTGGCACCGTGCGCATCTTCCCAGTGACCATCACTGGGGCCATCTGTGAGGAGGTGAGCTTGAAGGGCCTCTGTGACCGAAAGCCCCAGGCCAGGGGAGCCCAGGCCCGCCATTTAAGGCCCAGGATTCCTCTGGACTTGCTGTGTACCTAGCGCCCCCTAGTGGATAGGACCTGTTCCTCGGATCCTAATGTCGGGGGCAGTTTATCTCAAAGGAACCCTGCATCTATCTTCTCTGTGGTTTCCTCCCTCCATGCAGTGGACTCCAGACATGGGTTCGCTGGTCATTTTGTGGTCAGGACTTGTCCTTAAAAACTGACCGACAGGCTGGAGGTGTGGCCTAACGGTAAATTGCCTGCTTAGGATGTGCAAGGCCCTGGATTCAATCCCCAGCACCAAAACCCAAGGGACCAGCACCAGCACCCTGTCTTCAGAGCTGAGTGATGGGTGGAGTTTGTCTCCAAGAGTGTAGTGGGAAGGTCCTGTCCTTAGAACACATTGTTTGGTAAGGTCTGTGGCTGCGGTTCTGCTGAGTGGTGACTGTGTCTATGGCTCCCCACTGGGGCCAGACAGCCTCCCTGTGTGCTTTATCCCCCCATGGAGGAGGCTTACCTTTAAGGCCACCCACGATGGGTAGAACCTGTCTCTATGGTTTCTCCCATGAGTAGGGCCAGTGTCCAATCACTCCCCCCAAGGTGGAAACTTTCTCAAAGTTATCCTGTAGGTGGGGCCAGTCACAAAGGTTCACCATGGGGAAGACCCTCATGTGAAATACCTAGCTGACCCCATCAATCTGATCATCTTGGTGATGGTGACAGTTTCTCTCTGTCATTTGGCAGTGTGGGAAGCAGATCGGAGGTGGGGACATTGCAGTGTTTGCAAGCCGTGCGGGCCTGGGTGCCTCTTGGCACCCACAGTGCTTTGTGTGCACCACATGCCGGGAGCTGCTTGTTGACCTCATCTACTTCTATCATGCTGGCAAGGTCTACTGTGGGCGTCACCATGCTGAACGCCTTCGCCCACGCTGCCAAGCCTGTGATGAGGTTTGTGCTCCCTGCCCAGGGGTGGGAGTGGAGGCAGGGCCAGGGTCTGGCCCTTCTGACAGCCATAGATGGCCTGCACCCTCCAGATCATCTTCTCCCCTGAGTGCACGGAGGCCGAGGGGCGTCACTGGCACATGGGTCACTTCTGCTGCTTTGAGTGTGAAGCTTCGCTAGGAGGGCAGCGATATGTCATGCGTCAGAGCCGCCCCCACTGCTGTGCCTGCTACGAGGCCCGCCACGCCGAGTACTGTGATGGCTGTGGGGAGCACATCGGTGGGTGAACACAATGGGACTGGATGGAGGGGTGCAGGGACAGCGGGGCTACAGTCATACCCCACAGGAGCCCTCCTGTCCTCCGGGCTCCATCTCCCACTATGCTCTACATTTGAGGTCTAGTCCCAGCACCAGAAGCCTGTGCCCTTCACTGCAAGTCCCACTCCTGGCTATGACAGTCCTTGTAAACCCCACACACACACTAGGCCACCACTCCACACCTCTAACCCCCCACCAAGCATGCTGTAAGCCTTGTCTCTACTGCCTTGACCTATGTGCTATTCTTCATCAGCTTAGGTTAGGTCCCACCTTCAGTGACACCCTAAACCCTGCCCCAACCACCCAGGCCTCTTCTTCAAGTCCAGCCTTCCACTCATCTTGCACCCGAAGCTGCCACCCCTTAATGTCTAAGCCTGGCCCACATCTTACAGTCCAATGCTCACCTCCACTTTCAGAGCCCCGGGGATCCCTGGGAAAGAAAGGAAGGAGGGAGAGGGAGAGATTTACCAGCAAATCTCCAGGCAACTGGGATGAGGAATCATGGGGTGAGAACCAAACCCCAAGTTTCCTGCTTTCTCCAGAGCCAAACCCCATTCCAGAAGGGGGAAGCAAATGAGGGTACTCTGCCCCAGATTCTTCACTTCTGCCTAAGAAAGGCGCCATTCAGGAGGGGTTCGGAGTCTGGCGGGTCTGCCTTAGTTTACCCTCCGCGTTGGTCCCTGCAGGTCTGGACCAGGGCCAGATGGCTTATGAGGGCCAGCATTGGCACGCCTCAGACCGCTGCTTCTGCTGCAGCTGCTGCGGTCGAGCCCTGCTGGGTCGCCCCTTTCTGCCCCGCCGTGGCCTAATCTTCTGCTCTCGAGCTTGCAGTCTTGGGTCAGAGCCCACGGTCCCGGGGCCAGGCCGCCGCAGCTGGAGCGCAGGCATTGTCACTGCCCCACTCGCAGCCTCCACAGCCTCTTTCACTGCTTCGGAGGGGGCGTCAGAGACGGCCACCAAAAGCACCTGCACAGAGGAAGCGCCAGGTGAGACGCACGCCCCTCCACGAGGAGCCTTCACTCTTGCAGCGGGCCTGGCCTCCTTCCCCACTCTTATTCCAAGCCTACTCTGCAGTCCAAACTACATCCGCCCTGTGTGAATCCTGGTCCGCCCTGCACAGGGCCCTACTCTTAAAGCAACTTGCCCCTGCCACAGCCCCTTCCCCTTTCATTCAATCCATCGGCACCCAGGCCCCGCCCCCGTTCTGTCGCAAACCAAGCCTGCTCCAGCTAGTGCAGCGCCCCTCCCATCCAAACCACTTCCCCATTCCCAGGCCACGCCCTCTGCACCGACTTCCTATCTTCTCTCTGACCCATATCCTGCCCCAGGCCTCAAAAACTCCCAGCTCTGGGCTGGGAATTTAGCTCAGTGGTTCCTCCGCCTGCCTGCCTCGAAAGGGCAAGGTCATGAGTTCGATTACCCGTACCAAAAACAAAAAAACTCCCAATTCCGAAGCTCCCTGTCAACCTCTTGACACCTGCCACCACGACCCTAGTCCTAGTGGGGGGAAGCAGGCCTTGCCTCATGCCTCCTCGAGAAGAGGGCAGCCCAGGGGAGCAGATACAGGGAGTCCCGTCGCTCCTCTCTTCTTTCCCAGCTGCAGGCCCCGAGGAGCCCTCTCCTTTTCTGAGAGGTGCTCCCCACCGCCACTCCATGCCTGAGCTGGGACTCCGAAGTGCTCCAGAGCCACCCTTCGAGTCTCCTGGGCAACCTGACCTGCACCAGGAAGATGGTTCCTTTCGTCGACAGAGCACCCCTCGAGTCAGCTTCCGAGACCCACTGGTGTCGGATGGAGGTCCACGCCGGACACTGAGTGCACCCCCAGCCCAGCGCCGCAGGCCCCGAAGTCCTCCACCCAGGGCCCCCAACCGTCCTCGGCATCGCCGCCATCACCACCACCACCACTATCATCATCATCATCGCCACTCTGGCAGACATGGCCGCCATCGATGTGACTTGGCATCAGGGTCAGACTCAGGGTCTTGCTCCAGCTCACCCTCCAGTCCCAGCTCTGAGTCCTCCCAGGATGATGGCTTCTTCCTAGGGGAGCGGATCCCGCAGCCCCCACTCCTGCGCAGGCCCAGGACCCCTCAGGACACTGCATCTGAGACCAACTCCACAGCCATGCAGCTCCCCAGGGAATCTCAGCTAGGGATGCCTCACCAGGCCCGGAACAAGAACTGTATCGTGGCTTGAAAGCAGACAACCTCAAAGGGGGCTCCATTGTCCAGTCTGAACATGACAACCCGCCCCCACCAGAAACTAAGTCATAAATCCCCTTCCTTCTGCCCTCTTTCCTGTTTGTATTACTGAAGCAATGTGTTGGAAAACAGGCCTGTCTTCTTTGCCTCCTTGCCCCAGCTGCCCACCTCCCCCAACCTCACCCCAATGCTTGAGATTTATCCACATTTCATCAAAGGATTAATTTATTCATTATCTAGATTTTAGCACCCTCCACACTGAGCTCATTTCCAGTGGGTCACCCGTGGAGCTTACACTCTGAAATTAGAGGCACCCCCTCCTTTTCTGTGGCTTAAGTGGGGATATGGGTCCACAAAAAACTGATGTCTCCTTTGGGATGCTGCAGAAGGAAGGGAGACCTGGCCACACCCACAGAGGTGACCACACCCAGGAAGGTTGCTTGGCAAGCTGGAAGACAAAATTCTCCCAATAAAGGCAGTTTTACCTCAGTAGGGGGCTGGGAGTATTGTGGGAATGGGGAGGAGTTTTCTCAATGGAGGAGTTATTTGCAGGTTGCAGAGTTCACCTACACCGGGCCATCTGTAGGGTCTGCAGGAGGAAAAAAGAGAAAGCATTGACTCAATCTATATACCCATTTTACAGACAAGAAACCTGAGGCTTATGGTATGTATTGGTACCAAAGCCATAAGTACCAGTAAGGGATAGATAGCATTGGCATTCATACCTTTCCTTGGGAGATCCCTTTCCTTTTGTATTCTGCTCTCTCAACAGCACATATACACACACTTACCAGTGGGGGCTGCTGTATGTCTTTGCTGTCGAAGAGGGAAGGTGAAATAGGCATCATAGCCAAAAAGCAGCGTAGCAATTAGGCCCAGTACCTGGGGGGGGGGGTGCAGATGGGAGTGAAGGTGGTGGATTAGGTGGTTGGCCCATTCCACCTTTTACGTCTGTAGCCACCAACTCTTAGGGACTAGCCCATGCAGGATGGTGACTCCAACCCCAGACTTCAAAGCCTGAGACCCACAAGGAGAGGCCAGGAGGCTGGATTATGCCCCACCCTACCCCCAGTACCTCTCAACACAGGGCAGTCACATGGTAGCCCCACATGGAGAAAACACACCACACTACAGTTGTGACAAAGGCATCCTAGTGTGTTCCCTAAGACCCCTGTGTCTGACAAGGGACACTCTTTATAGCAAATGATCTTGGGAGATAAAAGCATGGCAGGAAGCCAGACCCTGACAGGCCCTAAGAGCAAGAGTGGCCTGCTGTGGGTCATACACTTTCTGCCAGAAGCAGAGGCGCACATGGCCACTGGATCCTCCAACCCTTCTCCCCTGTAGTTTGGAGCTGTCGCCATAGCCTTTACCCCTGCGATGATTTTGGCAGTGTTTCCTTTCTCAACAAGGACAAAAATGGAGGTGATCAGGTAGAGGATCGCCGCTATGAGGGTTCGGAAGAAATCCTGTGAGGTGTTGGGGGAAGAATGAGTCAGATTCCAGAGTTCCCTGGATAATCCCAACTGCCCAGGCCCCTGCCCATTTCTGGCCCCCTTCTCACACTCCAGGGCCAGTTGATGAAGGGCATCTTGGTATGCAGGTCACACATGTAGATGACAAAGAAGACAGCAGCAAGGATCATCTCAATCACGGACAGGGAGGAGTACCCTGATGTCGAGGCACTGAAGCAAATCAGAATCACCAGGCATAGTATCTGAAAAGGTGACAATGGGAAGGGAGCCTGCATCAGCTCCCAGGACTGAGGGGATTGGTTTAAATTAGGGGAGAAGATTCTGAAACTCAGATGGCTACCAGAGAAAAAAATGAAAACCACTTCTCAGAGCTGGGGGTGTGGCTCAGTGGTAGAGTACTTGCCTACATGTGCAAGGACACGGGTTTGATGTCCACCACCAGGGGGGAAAAAACTTTTCAAATGCCCACTGGGACTGGGAAAATGACACACAACAATTGCTAAACACAGCACTTTTTGTGTGCTAATGTGCTCCAAGCATTGTTCTAAGAACTTTACAGAACTTTATGAGTTTTGACTCACTTAGTCATCACAATAACCTAATGAGCTAGTATCTCTATTTCACAGGTGAAAAAAGTGAGTAAGAAAGGCTGAGTGGCTGGGCATGGTGGCACATGCCTGCAATTCCAGCACTTTGGAGGCTGAGGCAGGAGTATCCCTGAAAGTTTGAGGTTGACCTGGGCTACATAATGAATTCAAGGCAAGCCTGAACTACATAGTGAGTCCCTGTCTTCAAAAGACAAAAAATAAACAAAAGAAAGAAAGAAAAAGAAAAAAGAAAGGCTAAGTGGTTCATCCACGGTCACCCAGCAAGGAGCAGAGCTGGGGTCCTTGGATGCTCCTTTCCCTTGTAGGAAATGGGCGGCCAGAAAGGCGAATCTCTGCCATGTTTTTGGTGAACACCACTGGCCAAGGCTCTGAAGCCTTGAGGGGGCGGGACGTGTGGTTCCCCCAGCAACCCCTTTGGGAAGCGGTGAGAGTCACACTGGAGGGGCGGACTCCGTTAAAGGCACCGCACCCCTTTCACAAGTGACTCAAAGGTGGCGCCCACTTTCAGGGAGGCGGGCAACCAAGGTTCCCTAGCCACTCGAAGAGCTAAGGACCTTCGGTTCGGTCCCAAAAGGGCAAGGAAGAACTGACGAAGGGTGGGGCGCCCTACCCTGCGGACTAGCGCGCCGGGCCCCACCCCAACAGGCACCGCCTCTGGGCGCACTGCCAGCCCGCCTGCCAGTGCCCAGGCCGCGCCACGCCCTGCCACGGGAGGCCCCCACTCCCCAGCCCCCAGGACGCCTCCATCGCGTCCACTGAGGAGTCTACGCGGGCTTCCCCACCAAACACCCCACAGAAATTAGAGTCCTCGCCTCGCCTCGCCCGCGAGCCACCAACTCTCACCCTAAACCCCCAAACTCCACCGCCTGCCCCTGCGCTGGCAGTTTCGAGCTTCGAGTCTCCACCACGAACCCACACACCTGAGCTCCACGGCCCGGCACCCAGCCACGTGCCCACCTCCCCGCGGACCGTCCCGCACCGCGTGGTCCACCCACCCCACCCCTCCGCCTCGGCCACCCGCGGCCCCAGAACGCTCACAATCTCAGTAAGCAGGAGGAATCCCTTGCGGGTGCGCCAGTAGCTGGTGCAGGCGGCCCAGCAGCCGGGGGCCGACAGGCGCTCAGAGTCCGCCATGGTGTCGGCGGGGGTCCCTGGACACGCAGAGGATCTGCTCTCCTGCTCCGGGTTCGAGGGCGCTGCACACCCTGCCGTCTAGCCCGCCGTCTGGCCGAGAACGGGGGCCCCCCGAGGCAAAGGAGGGAGTGAATCACCGCGCGGAGCAGAAGCGGGCGGGGCCGGAGGGGGCCGGGCCAGGTGGCTGCCGCCCCGGAAGCCCCCTGGCCCCGCCCGCCTAGTACAGTCCGGACCCGGGTGCAGCCCCCGGGACGCCCCATCTCCGAGGTGCTGGGCAGCTCCTGGCATCAGGTGCGTGAATATCGAGACCCCCCCCCCCCCGTTTTCGAACTCCAAAGGGCTGCCTCAAATTAGAACCACGAGAATCTGGCTTTGAAAGAGTGTGACTCAGTTTCCTTAGTTGGAAAAGGGCCAAGACCATGATGAAACCCAAAGAGCTTGGGGACCAGGCATGTTTCCAAAATCTGGAATATTTTAGATTTTGGAAAGTCTTCCCTGGTAGCCACGTGTGGTGGCGCACGCCTGTAGTCCCAGCACTCGGGAGGCTGAGGCTGGAGGATTGCTGAGTCTTGGAGGCCAGCCTGAATTACAAAGCAAGACTCTAACTCAAAAAGTAAAAATAAAAAATAGGGCCAGGGATTTAGCTCAGTGGTTCCACTGCCTGCCTTGCAAGCGCAAGGTCCCGAGTTTGATCCCCGGTACCAAAAAAAAAAAAAAAAAGAACGCCTTTCCAGTGCATTCATGGTACATTACTTAGCATTCTCATTGGAGCCTGGGGTGTTAAAATTATTTCCTCAAGGAAAAGTGTGAATGTTCACAATAAGTGAGTGAGATTATTGAAAATTGTTCCTCCTAGGGCCGGGGATTTAGCTCAATGGCACCATGCCTGCCTTGCAAGCACAAGGTCCTGAGTTCGATCCCCAGCACCAAAAAAAAAAGAAAAGAAAATTGTTCCTCCTTAGGTCAGGTTGGTACCAAACATGGGGGGAAGGGGACAGTTTCCAGAGCTTTTTGGATTTTGGAATTGTAGATAAAAGATAGCGGAGTGTGGGGAGGCTGAGGCAGGACGATTACAAGTTTGAGGCCAGCCTGGGCATCTTAGTGAGACCCTATCTCGGGTGTGGCTTGGTGGTAGAGCACTTGCCTTGCATATACAAGGCCCTGGGTTCAACAGCCCAAACTGGGAGCCAGGTTGAAGGGTGGTAGTAGAATGTGAATAAATCTCTTAGTGATAAAAATGAGACCATGCTGGTGCAAAGGCCGAATAAGAACAGGACCTGGTAAATACGGTTAGAAACCAGGCAGCTCATGGTCTGATTCTCCCTTCTGTAATTCCAGGCAAGTCCTGACCCTAAGTTCTGGGCCTCGGTTTTCTGGTTCTGAGATGAGCAGCCCATCTACCCATGGATGAGAAATAGGGGAGGGAGTACAAGTTTATTGCTGGGAGCTTGGCAAGATAAGGAGATGGCTCTTGGAGTACAAGGTTGAATGACAAAATTGTTGACATTTGCAGATGAATACAATCTCCAGACTGGAATCTGATTTCATTCTCATCTCATAAGGTAGAGAATCATAATTGGAAGTCCAGGAGGATTCAACCCAAGGGCCTGTCTGCTTTCCCCCACCTAAACACAGGGTTCCTCAAAACTAAGGAAGAGATTTACACTTTTAGTCCAGGTTGCTGAAAGAGTGACTGAATAGGAAGGAATGAAGCCTGCTTTTCAACTCTATGAGGAATGCCTGCATTTGGGGAATAAGACTAACTTGGCTGCCTCAGGGCCTTTGCACTTGCTATTCCCACTATTGTCAGTGCCTTTCCCCATTATCATTCATCTGGCTTCTGGTCCTACAGGTTGCAGCCCTACTTCAAAAAGGCCAGCAACCCACCACCATCTTGCCCAACATAACCTCCTTTTGCTATCTTCATAAACTCTCACTTCTCTCTGAACTTTTTTACTTATTTTCTTGTCTTTCATGTTTGACATCTGCCTATCCTCACTGCATCAGCTACACAAGGACAGAAATCTGTGTCTTATCCCTCAAGTAACCCTGTAGTACTTACGCTAATACAAGGTATACAGTTGAGGTTCAATCAATACTTATCAAATACAGGTGGACATCAGGCTTTAATTAAATCTTGCTTCTACCCACCTCCCACTTCAAGCTATTTGCACTGTCTGGGCCTCACTTTCTTCTTCTGTGAAATGGCCATATCAGGGTTGTTGAGTAGGTGTGTAACTAGATAAAAATAAATACTAAAGCCACTTGCAGGGATAAGACTAAGTGGTGGCTGGGTGGCTATTCTTAGTTCCCTGGGTGTGACTGTGTTTATGAGAATGGGGCTCTAAAACCCCTTCTTGACATCTGTCAAGCCACACCTCCACCAAGCTCTGAGTCAAGGGGAGATGGACGCCCTGAACATGCTCCCCCACAAGGTCTCCAACTAAACTTTCCAATGTTCGCCTCTTTAGGACTCATACTCCAGCTCCCAGCTTTATAGTACCACCTCGGACTCACACTCTAGCCCTTTAATTTCTTTCTCCTCTACCTGCTTCTTTCCCATAGGGGCAAAAGTTGTCAGTTCCCTTCCAACCACAGCTTCCCTCCTTGGGGGGATGGGATCGTGTTCAGGATGTGGTGACAGCAGAGGTGACCAGGCATTTCTGGCCTTCCCCAGCGCCTACACCGGGGCTACCCAGCTTGGAGTTCCGCTGGCCACAGCCCCCCCTGCCTAGGGAGCTGGATTCCCAGGGTGGAGGAAACTCTGGGTCTCTCCCAGGACAGGAAACGCCCAGAGGGCGTGTGCACACCCTCCGGACAGCAGTTCCTCACCATCTAAGGGAAAGGGGGCGTAACCCAAAGGTTTTAACAGCCTTTTTTAGCCTGGCCCGCCCAGGGTGCTGACTCACACCTTCTCGGCTCTGTCCCAAAGGGGGCTCCAGGGCCCCTGCCTGTGCTTTGAGGGTGGCAGCCTACATGCCAGCAAAAGCTGGCCTTCCAGGCCGGAAGTAGAAGACTGCAGGCTCCTGGCAAAGGAAGCCTCCCGATGCTTCTAGACTTGCTGTCCCGCCGGCAGCCAAGGGTCTGGACGATTCCCAGCAAGGACAGTGGGGATACTGGTGCATCCCACCACAACAGGCCCACAGCCACACGCCATAATTACGTGCGAGCCCCTGCACACCTCCAAAAGAGTGAAATAAATGAATGGAGAGAGGAGCTGGAGTTGGTGAGGAGAAAAGAAAAGTGGTGCAAGCACTCGGGGCTGAGGACAGGCCGAAGTGAAGACCCGTGTGGAGGCATGAAAGCAGCAGCACGTAACTTGTCAGTGTTGCCAGAGGCCCTCCGAACCCACCCCCTCCTTTCCAGGGTGGACTGGGAAGCCCCACCCCTCCTGAAGCACCCGGCAAGTCCAGACTGGATAGATTGATTTTATTACCCAGGTCCTCTCCCGGAACCAGAAGCTGGGGGCTGGGGGCTGGGGGCTGGGGGCTGGGAGGATTGTACCACTGACTCGGTGCGGAGATATGGGCCAGTGGACTGCTCGGAGGGAGAGAGGGGACCAGACCAAGAGGAAGCTCTCGGGGCAATGCTAGCGCACTGTCATCGGGGTGCGACAGATCCAAGCCGGGCCGTAGCCCTATGCTTAGTGCCTTCGCATTCCAGCCACCATCTCCTGAGCGAGCTGCGCAGTCCTCGGGATCCCCAACGCCCGTGAGAGCCTCTCCTCACTCGGCACCAACCAGGGCCCGGGGGAACCCGCCTTATGGTTGCCTAAGTCCTCAGTGCAGGGTTCTGGAGGAGGAACCTTGGGGCCTTGGGCCACTGCCTCTGCACTAGGCTCCGAGCTGCCCCGGGTCTTGGGCATCCTGCTGGATCGAGGGTGGTGAACTGGGAAAGGTTGGAGCTCTGAGACCTCATCTCTGGACCTTCAGGATCTGGGCTGCGATCTGGGGACACCGAGACTGCGGGTTAGATTGAGTGCTGGTGTAGGGAACTGAAATCAGGGCCTTTGCCTGAGAGTGGCTGGGAGAGCCCAAGGGTTGTGGGGGACAGAGACCCCTGTCCCTTGAAGAAACCTCTCCTACAAGGCCTGGAGCTACCTACCCTTCAGTGACCAGTGCCATCCCTCACACGTCTTTCTCCATATCCCTCCCCTCCTCTATCCATGCCATGCCTCTCAGAAATTATTTCCCACAACCGCCACAGGAAATCAAACTGCCACCTTGGCCTTGGGACTATGAACCACTCCTTTCTAGGACCTCTCACTGTCCCCTCCCTCACCTCACCTCCCTTGACTCCCAACCCTTTCACTTGTAGACCCTGTGTCTCTCAGAACTAGACCCTCTGTCCAATACATCCTGTCTCTCAACTGAGACTGATTCTGCTTGCCTCTCCAAGGACTAAGACCCTTCCTTCTGAACACGCGATTTTACCCCAGACTCCTTCCCTCCTTGAATCTCCTCACACTTCAAAAACCTCCCTTCTGAAATTCCTATCCTGAGAAGGGGTCCCCTACTTGCCCCCACCTTGGAGAATACCGTAATCACACCCAAACACCATATTGCAACCCTCTCCCACTGAGACCACCAAACCCTTTCCACCCAGGGCCCAGCCTCTGGTCTGTGAACCCCTACTTCTCACAGATCCCTGACCCTCTCCTCTGGAAAACCCAGCACCTCCTTTCTAGGGCCCTCTCAGTTCCTCAGGCTTTCTGGGAGGCTGCCTGAGCCCAAGGTGGAGCCTGGGACCTCCAGCAAGGATCCACTCCATGACCTGGGCACAGGTAAGGCCCTGTCCAGACTCTCCACTGATGTGGAGCACAAGGTTACCGACCTGCAACACCAAGAGGCAGTGGTGTAAGAAGGACATATGGTGAGCACCCCTTTAGGAACAGAGGATGCCCTAGGGCTAACCTGCAAATGACTACAGCACTGCGCAGCCCCATCCTTCAGCAGCCCACGAACTGCCAGGGGAGCATTCCCTGCTCCATCTCGGCACCCACTTAAGATGAGGCCAAAGCCTGCAGGGCCACGGAGCAGCTCCACAGAGAACCAACTGGAGGCCTGGGTTGGCTTCCAAGCACAGCTTGCCTTATCCAGAATCACTGGACGTGGCGCAGTACTCATACCCAGAGTCTCTGACCTGCAGTGCTGGAGTAAGGACACTAATGTATTTACATTGCCAGCCCCAAGACAGCCCCTATCAAATCGAACAACGTTGTACTGTACCTGGGCCAGGTGCTCCACGACAATGGCATGAGGCAGGTGGCTGTCTGTGACTTCTATGTCTGCAGAATCCAGCACACTAATACCTGGGGCTGAAAGAGGCAGAGAGAGCTATCACGGGATGCTCCAAGCTTAACTACATAGGACCAGCCTTCTCAGTTAACGTTCTGGCAGCATCTTTCTAAAAACAAATTCTGCTTCTCCTCCCCCCAACCCTTTTTTTTTTTATTAGTCCAGGTATACTGTAGTTTGGGACACATAATAAATGGCCTCACCTTTTTGCATAACCTTTGCAATTTACACAGACTCGCCCATAATTTAGCAATCTAGGGAGCACACACCTCCCCTAGTAATCTTATAGGCTGAGGCCACACCAATCACTGTCCTGACCCCGCCGTTTTATCAGATAATCCTGGAGCCAGTAATAGTAGCGCACTCCTGTAACCCAGCCCTCAAACTGACGCAGGAAGATCACAAGTTTGATCCCATCCTGGGCAACTTAGTGACATACTGAAACCGGCTCAAAATAAAAATTAAAAAAGGCCAAGGTCGGGCCCGGGATTTAGCGCAGTGGTTTCCCCGCCTGCTGCGCAGGCGCAAGGACCTAAGTTCGATCCCCGGTACCAAAGAAAATAAAAAATAAAAAAGGCCAAGGTCTGGGGATGTAGCTCATTGCGAAGGCACTGGGTTCAAGCCCCAGTAATGAAAAAATAAATCCTGGGTCAGCCATTGGAATAAGGATCCACCGCCTCCTAATAGTAACAGCTTCTAACACAGCACAGACCCCGGGCCTCAATAACCCCAGGCCCGGACGTCCCAGGCCCCGCCCTCTACCTAATTAGCCTCTCAACCTCGGCCCACGCCTCACGTTTCAAGCCCCGCCCCAAGGCGTTCAGAGCTTCCACCCCTTGACTGGCACCCTAGGCCCGCCCCTTTGCCGAATACCCACCCCCAGCACGCTCCAGGCTCCGCCCTCTCAGAGAGGACTCACGCAGTCCTGTTGCCCAGAATAACCGTCCAGTCCCGCACCCTCAACGAACCTTCCAGCGCTGACTTACTGTAAAACCTTAAGGAAGTGGGCTAGGAAACCCCAGGCCCCGCCCCTGGAGACACCCTCTGAGTCCCGCCCCGTCACACCCCGCGTCCCCACTAGGGGGCGTAAGACGCGACAACCTGAGCCAGCCCGCCTCCAAACCCAGCTCCGCCCCCTCCCCTTCCCTGCACTGCCTCCTGGGAAGGCCCCGCCCCTGTTACTCACCCTCCTGGGGGTGCAGGCGCAGTGTGGCGCCCACCCAGAGCGCCTGCGCAGACATGTCGGCTGCAGCGCTGGCCGCTAGGGGGCGCGCGTCCAGCCGTGACGGGAGCCGCCGGGCGCTGAGGCCGCGGGAGGGTTGGGGGCTGCGGCCTGAGTGAGAGGGGAACAGGTCAGCGCCGACCCTAAGCCTCGGCAAACACCCATGGTTCCAGACGTCCGAAGACACACAAATGCTCCTCAAGATACCCAGAGTCCTCCTGTCACTCTTTCCATAACTGGAGGTCGCCGACTCTCCCTCTCTCCTGCGACAACCAACCACCACGGAGATCTTCCCTCACGGTGTCCCCGGAGATACCCATTTGACTGCAATCGTCCTGGACACCTCCGAACACCCGATTCATTTTTCTACAGTTCCTGGATTGTCTCCTAAGAACTCTAGATAAGAAACTTCCCACTATATATCCCGTGACCTAGACATCACGAGAGAACAGGACCAGTCCCCATATCCCTGAGACAGCTGATTTCTCCTCCAGGTATCCTAGGTAACCTCTGCTAGCCCCCAGGAGTTGCCCGTTTCCCTACAGGGCCCATGTACCTCCAATTCCCCCTCCACAGTTCCCCAGAGGCTCCCCCACCACCACCAAAAAAAGCCAAGTGCGACGGATCCTGCGTGTCCAGTGTCCCCTGATTCCTCCCAGCACGTCTCCCCTGACCTTTGGGACCCATCTCCCCATCTGATCCACCACCCCTCCGCTCCATGTAGGGATAGAGGCCCTGGAGCAGCAGCCACTGTCCCTAAGTCCCTGCCCCTGCCTTCCCTTCTTGGCACCAGAGCTACTGTTTACCACCTGTAGGATGTAGAAGGTGAGGAGCAGACAGGCGGGGCTCACTGTAGGCAGTGAAGGCTTTCTCCCTTCACCCCTCTCCACCCCACCCATGCCTCCTCTGCTCCCCCTAGGGTCCGCAGCACCCCCTGCACACGACTCCAGGGCTAGGGGTCATCACCCCTAGGATTCGCTGCGGCCCAGAGAGTTTTGAGCACAGGGGCGTGTTCACCTGCGGGCCCACCCAGACTTGGACTCTGCTGTGGCCGGCCAGTCCTTTGCAGGGCGCCCCAGCCGGTGACCTACCTGGTCTTGGGCAAGGAGGCCTGGCTGTGGGGGCCCGCTAGAAATGCTTGTCCTTGCTCTGCCTCAGGCACTGCTGCTTCTAATAACTGAGGACCCTGGTTAAAATGAAAAAGTCGTCTGAAAAAAAAATTAAAAAGCCTGACCATATTAAATGCTGCAGAAGATACAGAGAATAGGGCCGGGGATTTAGCTCGGTGGTTCTGCTGCCTGCCTCACAAGCACAAGGTTCGGAGTTCGATCCCTGGTATAAAAAAAAAAAAGTTAAATATACACAAAACATCCAGCCATTCTGAGTATTTACTCAGCATATGTCTACACGAAGACTTGTAAAAAACTGTTTGTGGCACCTTTATTTCTTGTCATAATCATCTTGGACTTCCATAACAAAATATTACTGACTGGGTGGCTGTAACAGCAGAAATTTATTTCTCACAGTTCTGTAAACTGGAGTCCAAAATCAAGATGCTGTCCAATTCGGCTCCTGCTAAAGGTTCTTGGCTTGTAGATGGCTGCCTACTGTGTCTTCACCTTGAGTGGAGAGAGTGAGAAAGACTGTCAGAGAGACAGCACCCTGGGCCGGGGATTTAGCTCAGTGGTTCTGCCACCTGCCTCGAAATCACAAGGTCCTGAGTTCGATCCCCGGTTTAAAAAGAAGAGAGAGAGATAATACCCTCTCCCCACAAGGCTACAGTCCTTTCTGATTAGTGCCCCACCCCAAGGACCTCTTTTAAAGACTTAATCACCTCCTAAAGCCCTGTCTCCCTATAGAGGTACATTGGGCGTTAGAGATTTAGTATATGAACCAAGATACATCATGTAAAGGTACAAGATCCCAATGAGGAATGTAACTGTGTTGTATACCTAAAATGTACCAATAAGCTTAATGGAAAAAAATAAAAATAAAAAAATAGTTCGGATGGAGAAAGTCAGAGCAATGGCAACGCCACCTCTAAAGGGAGGATGATGCATTGTTTACTTTGAGGAGGGCCCAGAATGGCCTTGAGAATCAGCCTGACTGGAGGTTACATTGCCTCAGCCTCACCCCAGGGCTCAGGTAGTTTTCTTTACCTTGTATTCTTGGGAAATAAAGGCAATAATATGTTCTAATTCTGAAAAAAAAAAAAGAATTTCAGCATATGAATTTAACAAAGGAGGGAGACACACAATTCAGCCCAGAACAATTCAGCCCAATTCAGTCCAAAACTGCAAACAACCTAAAAGTCCATCGGGAGGTGAATGGATCAACAGTGGAATAATCTTAGCAATAAAAAGGAATGATAGAAGATACAGAAACAACTCCAGACATACTCAGCCACTTCATCTTTGACAAAGGAGCCAACCACCTTCATTGGAGGAAAGATAGCCTATTTAATAAATGGTGTTGGAAAAACTGGATCTCAACCTGCCAAAGATTAAAACTAGACCCATATTCGGGCTGGGGATTTACCTCAGTGGTTTCGCCCCCTGCTGCGCAAGCGCAAGGACCCGAGTTCGATCCCCGGTACCAAAAAAAAAAAAAAAAACTAGACCCATATCTATCACCATGCACTAAACTAAGATCGAAGTGGATTAAAGATCTAAATATTAAGACAGAAACACTAAACTTGGTGGAAGATATGTTAGGTAGAACTCTTGAACACATTGGCATAGGAAACTTTATGAACAAAACCTCAATAGCATGGGAACTAGCACAAAGAATCAACAACTGGAATCTCATCTTATTAAAAAGCTTCTGTGGACTGGGGATTTAGCTCAGTGGTTCCGCCACCTGCCTTGGAAGCGCAAGGATTCCAGTTCAATCCCCAATACAAAAAAAAAAAAAAAAGCTTCTGCACTGCAAGAGAAACCACCAACAGAGCTAAGAGACAACCTACAATGTGGGAAAAAATTTTTAGCAGCTGTAACACAGACAAAGGACTACTATCTAGACTATATAAAGAACTGAAAAAAATCAGACCCCCCAAATTCAAAGACCCAATTCAAAAATGGGCATCTGAAATGAACCGACATTTCTCAGACACAGAAGTAAAAGCAGCCAAACATCTTTGGTCATTCGAGAGATGCAGATGAAAACAACATTGAGATTCCACCTCACCCCAGAAAGAATGGCTGCTATCAAGAAATCAACCAGGGCTGGGGATTTAGCTCAGTGGTTCCACCGCCTGCCTCGCAAACGCAAGGACCCAAGTTCGATCCTCAGTACCAAAAAAAAAAAAAAGAAAGAAAGAAAAAGAAATCAACCAATGACAAATGCTGGCGAGGGTGTGGGGAGAAAGGAACCCTTCTCCATTGTTGGTGGGAGTGTAGACTGCTGCAACCACCGTGGAAATCAGTATGGAGATCCCTCAAAGAACTAGGGCTAGAGGTCTCATTTGACCGAGCTATTCCCCTGCTGGGTGTCTTCCCCAAAGAATTTAAAGAATCATACCACAGCGATATATGTGACCCATGTTTATAGCAGCACAGTTTGTAATAGCTAAAGCTTGGAAACAGCCCAAGTGCCCATCAACTGGAAACTGGATAAAGAAGATGTGTTTTTTTAATAAAATGGAGTATTACTCAACCATAAAGAACGAGAAACTAGAGATCTTTACAGCTAAATGGATGCATATCGAGGCCATATTCTTAAGTGAAATAAATAGGACACACTTGTGTAAATACCGAATAGTTTAACTAGTGTGAGAAACTGATAGTGTAAAGAAGGGTTAAAATGATTATTATGAATTGATAATCTGAAATAGGAAAAAAGGTCCAAAGACAAGGAGTGAATGGAGGGGAAGGGGAAAGGGGAAAGGGAAGAAGGGAAAGGAAAAATTATGAGAAAAGAAAAAAATGGAAACAAAGCCTATGTAAATAGGGAAGGATGGAGGGAGTAAAGGGCACACAGAGAATGGGGAAAAAAAATAAGAACCAAGATACATTATGTATAGGTACAAACACCCAATGATAAATGTAAATGTATTATGTATCTAAAATGTACCAATAAAAGAAGTTAAGCAAAAAATAAAAAGGAATGAATGAAATATGGATGAATCTCAAACTGATCGCACTATGTGGTTGGGGATTTGGCTCAGTGGTGCCCGCACCTGCCTCAAAAGCGCAAGGTCCTGAGCTTAATCCCCAGCAACCAAAAAAAAAGAAAAAATGATCGTGCTATGGGCTAGGGGTGTAGCTCAGTGGTAGAATACATGCTTAACATCCTGAATGAAGCTTGGGATTTGATCCCCAGCATCAAAAAAAAACACATCAGAATAATTATGATAAGTAAAAGAAGCCAGATCCTTACAAAAGAGTACATGTTACATGATTCCATTTATGTAAATGACACTTTTTAAAATTTTTTTGGTACCAGGGATCGAAGTCAGGACCTTGCACTTTCAGGGCAGGTGGTGGAACCACTGAGCTAAATCTTCAGCCCTTTATGTAAAAATCTAGTAGAATACAAATCTATAGGTGAACAGGGTGG